GGTATGGTGTTAAGCTCCAAGAAAGAATAACCGTCCTTTGTGTCACATTTCTGGCTTTTGTAGTTTGTACAAAGCACCATCAGTCAAATCAGCAACACGAGACTACCATATTAGGTATTTACAAAAAATGACAAAATAAGTAGTTCAAGTAGTCATATTTTCTGCTTTTGAAGACGTTTAGTAGGTAAAGAAATGAGTAATGGAAACAGATAAGGCCTTAATTTGATTCTCAAGAGAAAATACCGACCCCTAAACTTTAAATAAGAGGACAGATCATATTTACTTTTTCAGCACCTAATATAGCTTCTGTGGCACGTGCAAGCGCTCTTTATAATGATTTGAAACTTTTTTCCTGGTATGTATTTATCCAATTAAACATTTACTGAAAGTTGGAGTATATATATATCCAGCATCGTACCACCCTTGAGATACCATGGCAGGCACTGCTCTCTGGTGTGTTTCATTGTGATTTCTTCAGTCATATAGTCAGAGACATAGACAGTTGTCACCTAGTACAGCTAGATAACATGGTTGGATTATAAATTCATTCTTGAAGATTTTACGTGTGTATAATGCAAGATGCAGTACTTGCTTTGCACAGTTCTGATGTGCATGAGGTCAGTGGGAGTTTCATTTAACCGTGCAGAGTGCTGACTGCCTGTACAGTGAAAAGTGCCTGTACTTGGAAGACAGGCTTGTCTGGACTTACTCCAACTTTGGCACTTTGTCAGGGCCCCTCGTTCAACTTCTGAATTCAGCTTTCTCATCTATTAAAATACAGGTGATGATAATAACACTTATTTCACAAGGCACCTATTTCACAAATTAGTTTATAAACACTACGTAAAGTTATATCCATATAATTTTTAATTTTCATTTCCAAAGCTGAAAATACCGTCATTTTGGGGATACTTTATCTTATATTCAGAGATAAAACCAAAGAACATAATGCTATTTATTGTACTGTTTTAACCAAGCCATGTTGTGAATATTAAGTTATGATAGCAGATTATATTTTCCAAAGGTGGTCACAGTAACATTTTTTGCCCCACATATTCTTCTAGAACTTGCCACTGCCCATTGAGAGTTGATGTCTAATTCTCCTCCTATGGAATCTGAGCACGCCTATGACTCACTTGTAACCAGGAGAATGCAGTGGAAGTGATGCCCTGTGACTTCCTAGCCTAGGTCATACAAGGCAATGCTGCTTCCTTCCACCTTGTTCGTTGGAACACTGGCCTGCTTGGAGCCCTGAGAACTCTAAGTACACTGAGGCCGTTGTGTTGTTGGGAAGCCAAGCCTCGTGGGAAGGTCCCAGGTCCCAGGTATCAGGTCTCAGGTCAGCAATCCTAGTCTTCAAGCCTTTCCAGGCCAGTTACCAGACATGTAAGTGAATGAGCCATTGGATGATTCAGATGACACCAGCCCCAGCCCCAGCCCATCTAGTCACTCCCAGAGTCACCTCTAGCCTTTGAGACTCGGTATCAAGGCCCCAATCTTGTGGAGTAGCAACGAGCCATTCTCAGTGTGCCCTTTGTGAATTCCTCCTTGACAGATCTGTGAGCATAATAAAATGTCTTTTGTTTCATGCCGGTTAAGTTTGGGGTGGTTTGTTATATAACAACAATAATTGGAACAGTTATAAAACTTAAAAAGATACAGTTTCTCAGTAAGAAACGTAGCTGTTGAAATTCATCAAAAATGGGAAATACCTGCTGAATAAACGTTTACTAGGTCTTTCTTCCATTTCAAATGAAGATAGCCTAATAGAGAATTTTGCCTAGTAAGTAGCATTCTCCTATGGTGTT